GAGAGAGAGAATGAGAGACAGCAAGCACATGAGGGGGGGAGGGTCAGAGGGAGAAGCAGACTCCCTGCCGAGCAGGGAGCCCGATGCGGGACTTGATCCAGGGACTCCAGGATCATGACCTGAGCCGAAGGCAGTCACTTAACCAACTGAGCCACCCAGGCGCCCTGGATTAGAGTTTTCTATCTATCGTTTTTCTTCAGATGGAATCAGATAATCTGAGTAGAACTGGGATGGAGTAGATATATATAATATGCATATGCATGTCTGCCTAGTAGATTGTACAACTATGAATGTCAGGGTGGATAAAATGCACCTACAGATACAGGTAGAAGAGAAGCAGTTACGTAATGAAACACTACTAAAGATGGTGAGTAACTGCTGTTTATTAGGATTTTTTGCTATGCAAACTAATAGTCTTGAAGAAAAAACTTTCCATCTCTTCACCCTCAAAGCACAGTACTTATATTGTGATTCTCTCTCTACCTTTGTTATATATCTGTGGAGCTTTTTAAAAGTAGAGCTTCTTGGATTTCTACCATAACTCTTCTGGTAAATAGGTTATCAGAGCTTCTCAAGTTTTAATAGGCACAGAAATCATTTGGGGATCTTGTTAAAGTACACTTTCTGACTCTGTAGATCTGGGATGGGGCTTGAGATCAGAATTTCTAACATGCTCCTTGGTGATGCTGATTGTCCTGTTCTGTGGACCATATTTGGAGTAAGGAATTAGAAGGAGGTAATTGTTTTTTCTTAAGTTCTTCTAGAGTTTTCTAATATGCTAAAATATGCTAATATTTTATTTTCTATTTCTAATATGCTAAAAGCTTGAGAACTGTTACCACCTTATGTAAACTAAAGTTTTATCTTATGTATTTTTAATTGATGTATAATTAATGTGCAATAAAATGCATAGATCTTAAATATTTAGTTGGATGAGTTTTGACAGTTCTAACACTGTAAATATCACGTGCAACAAATATTTATGAGTCTTTTTCAGAACAGTTGATTATACTGACAGTACATGATCATGTCTCAAAATCATGTGATTTGATTTGGTTTGTGTTGAATACCCTCCAGCCAATCCATTAAGGCTGTATCTTAAGTAGTAACATATATAAGCATACATTTCAAAGGACACAAAAGATTATGCAGTGAAAAACAAGTTTCCTTCGTAATTCTTAGCTGCCCAGTTTCTTTCCCCAGCATATAGACTATGTAATATACATATGTATGTGTATACGCAGTTTATATATATTATTTATGTGTGTGTACATACTTTGTATATATATACACACATACAAAAGGATCATGATTGATTCTGATGAGTAGAGATAAGAGTTGGTACGTGTGTCTCCATATTTTTTCTTTAAATGCAAGTGGTGGTTTACCATGTACCCTGTTCAATGTATCCATTTTATATCAGTGTATATTAGTCCCCTATTAGTAGATATTTATAATAACTTGCGAAGCCATGTTTTTTTTTCTTTTAAATCTTTTTTTAAATTGTTATGTTAATCACCATACATTCCATCATTAGTTTTAGATGTAGTGTTCCATGATTCATTGTTTGTGCATAACACCCAGTGCTCCATGCA